AAAAAAAAAAAAAAAAAAGAGGAAAAAAGGATGAGGGAGAACCAACTAGACTTCAGAGGAACCTCACCAATTTATGAAAGGCTTTATATGACGCTGTGTTTGCAATAACACAGGAGTAGGGTTCATATTTTTGAGAACCTTTCAGTCATGTATTCAGAAATGGATGTTCCCATCATGTCCATTCTAACCCAGAAATCTTACAAAACCATTTTAATGGCAACATATTGCTCCTAACATTCAAGTCTCTCTTTGATTATCATTCCCTATACCAGAGGTATTTCCCAGGTTATTAAGAAGAAGAACATAATTACATTGAATAATCACTTCAGAAACAACAACAAAAAATAGCATTTCATTCATGTCACAATTAGTGTCATATACCTACTTAACCTCCCTATCCCCTTACCTTTTTTCTCTTCATTTTCTGATGACAGTTTCAGTTTATCTAGTGCTTGCTTCAAGGACGCTGACACTTTCAGCTGCAACTTTGTCATTGGCTCATCTGGGCTGAAAAAACATCCATGAATTCATGTCAGCTTCATGAAAAATAATTAACAAAAGACAACAAAGTAGCAACTTCTGATCTTGCTATAAGGCTCTTCCTTTCCAACCTCCCTTACAACAACAAACAAACAAGATTTGTAAATGCCAATTCTTACTGTTTATGGAAAAACAGACTCGAAATTTAGGAGGCAGTCTTCAATTTCAACAGGAAATCCTAAACGTTCTACAACAATAAAAATAAACCAGGGAGATTAAGGAATCTAAATGCAAGCATGCTACAATTATTTCTGTGACTGTTTAAAACACTAAACACAACTGCTAGTGGCATTCTTAACTATGAGGCTTTAGACTGCAATTTTTGTTTCCGGTAAACGCTGAGAAATCCAGTACTACCTTGCCTTAAGCAGAATTCTTTTATCTCATTTTGAAGCGTAAGATAACATCATCACTGCCACCAAACACAAGCTCTTTTAAAGGTTATTTGGGAATTTTTACACTAGATGAGATGCGTAACACTGAATAACCTAATGAGCTTTAACTTGGCCAACTGACCACAAATCTGACAAAAACTTAGTTTGTATACTGTACCTTGGCCTTTTAATTGTTTCCAATGGTTTTGGTGCCTGAATTATGTGTTCTTGAAATTTGGGTTTCAGTTCAGCCAGCTCCTTCCGTTCAGAGGTAGTTTTGACTTCTGGTTTAACAGGCTCAGGAGGTTTCTCACTGTTATGGGGACCCTTAGTACAGCCCTATTGTGGAAAGCGTATGTTTATATATATACAGTGTAGTTTGTGTGCACAATTAAAAATTATCAAAACTGCAACAAGTTTTCTTGATTTATTTCTTCAGCCCCATCTTCTCCTTTACCCCATTCTAAACACTGACTGCAAAGGAAATCCTACAAAGTGGAAAATTATCTTCATTTGAACTATGTTAAAGAAAAATGCATACTTTCCACAATGAAGAAAAGTAACAAAAAATACTGACCTTCCTTCATCATTAACAAGCATCTAAACAGGCTTTGATAGAACTAATTGTAATGATTAAAGCTTGAAAATGAGACTCAAACATTGTATGAAATAAAATAGCGCATGCAAGATTTAAGACAATTTTAATAAGTATGCAAATTTTAAACATGTAATATTAAATTGTAAATGTGCTTAATCAGTCATTTGACAAGTATAAAAATTTTAAATAATCATGAGTACATACCACAATGCTCAAGAAGTCAGAAAAGTCTGTTGTCCTCCTCTTACAACATGACCAACCCTATAAACATTTTGAAATAAAAACAAAACAAGCATGACTATCTTGCTTAGCAACAGCTTATAAAAAGCAAAAGACTAATTATATTCCTTCACAAGATGCAGTGCATCATGATTAGAGATTCTTTTCTTCTCTTTTTTGGACAATATTATCATCATTTGCATTTTTGAAAGCTAGAGAAACCTTTTACAGCTGCCATTTCTAGTTCACTCATGCTGCTTTAATCAGAAAGGTTGGTAAACACGTGGCAGCAATTCCATGACAAGTTAGGTACCAACTCTGTATGCCAGAAAACAGAAATGTTACTTTATCTCATAAAGTAATACAAAAGCAAACTCAACAAATACTATACCTGAGACTAGGTCACCTGTGGCAGAATGTACAGGCCCCCTTCCCAAAATCATGAGGATTTTTTTTGCCTTAATTACTAGTCAAGTCTTTCAACTGCTTACTTCCCACCAGAAAGCTGGATATCTGCAGTGCATAGCCAACTATCCAACTACATCAATCAAGAACACTTTTCATTACATAAACTAGTAATCCAATTCTAGAGAAAATGATCTTGTCACTGTGAATAATGTTTCTTCCAACCTGAAGTACCTTATTAAAGGCAAGAGTTTGACTCATAAATGTATAGCCACTTCCAGAGCTTAAGCAGTACAACACAATAGGGTTTAGGTAGGTAGTTCTAAAATATCCTCAAAGTATTAACTATTTCCACAGTTAAGGAGACAAAAGGTTCACCTTGCCCACTTAAATAATCTAGAAAGCATAGCAGGAAGAAAACGGCTCATAAAAAATTATGAGAAATTTGTAATTAGGCCAAGAGACAGGAGAAGGAAGAAAGTAGTACTTGTTTTAAAAACAGTGTGCATATAAAAGGGAGTAAACACAAGCTTTTGAGGTAGCTGTATAATTTATGTCTTCATAATTAGGTACAAGTTTCATGTATTGAGTTATGAGCACAACTACAGTTTTGTACAAAACAAATTGCCATAGTTTAGGTAACTGTACTGTATTTGGTCTAAGAGCATCTGTCCCAATTTGCCAGTGTCACATGACAACTGATTCCAGTCACATACTGCAATACGAGCAATAGCTTACAGAAAACATGGTGCCCAACACACATGCACCAGCTTCTGTGAGCCCAAAAAACACCCTATTATGGGACAAGGTTGAAATGAACTGCCAGTAGAAGCAGTTATAAATATTAAGAAAAATTATTGTCCCAAAGCTCGGTTGAATAGCAGTTTGGTGTCCTAAGAAAGGTCACTGAGGCTACCTCTGTATCACTACAGTACACAGTGCCAGGCTCCATTTCTGGACACAAGATTTCTGGCCAGACACTATTAAATTGTTAGAATGATTTCCAGTACTGCTTTGGCAGTTGTGTCTCAGATAACTCCCTGTAGGCACTTCAGATGCATCCAGTAGATCCTGAAATAGGAAAACAGTTTAATGTAATGAATATAGACTAGGCAGTTGGCCTAAGTGCTGGAGACCACTCACAGGTGTATTTAATTCACTACTGAAGACATAGCCCAAGAATCCTAGAGAGCTACAACTCAAATTAGCACAACGACTTAAGTCTCCAAACTTAACCAACATACTCATTTGTCAGATCAAAAGAACATAATTATTTTTTACCGTGGGCAAATGTCACATCCACGTTAGCTCACCAGCCATGTAAGACCACAAACAGCAGGTTAATTAACTGAAAGAGTATGACCCTTCTCAATGCTTCCAAAGACCTATTTCAAGGACCTAATTAAACTGTTGAGACACCTCAAGTGAATCAATAGGAAACATGGATCATACCGACTTGCATGGCATTTAGACCACAGGAATATGGTTTTTAATTTCTTCTTCAGGTTTGAGTAAGTGTGCATTTCTAATTTCATGGGGTTGCTAAAACATGAAAGGATGGACATCAGTCTCTTCAAGTGGAAGATTTGGAATCAAAAAGGAAAACATACTGTTTTACACATATGGAAAAAAAGATGAGACTTAAAAAGTCAGCTGCATACTTACTTTGAGAGCATCATGAAAGACTGGCACACCGGGATGGTACGTGCATGAATCTAGAAGAAAAAAGACGACTGTTAATATTCAGGCATATCAAGAATCGTCGTTCATCCAATCACAAAACCAGCAAAAATTTCACACTTGCAATTCACATACGCCATGAGCTGTTCCACTTCCCCAACTATACAGAATCATGAAGGAAAATACAGATTCCACAGAACAAGCTTTCTGAGTGCATGTATTAATTCTAAGTAATCCAAATTTTTTATTCTGTATTATACAACACAGACCAGGCACCTAAGACAGCCTTCTACTGCATATGGAACAAGTAAATTTCCTATGGACCATCCCTTGCCTTCATCAATAATTAGCCCTTAATGGTAATTCAGCAGAAGTGAAAAAGGCGGCCATATGGCCACCTGACAGACATTAAAATACTGTTTTACAGCACCAAATACATCTATTTGCACCTGATCAAGGCTTTCTATCTAGAAGCACTCTGTTAAAAAAATATCTTAACACAAACTTTGAGTTCATTATTTTATCAGTGATAATTAGCTGCTTCTTTTTTCACTGTTTATGGTATCCTAGGTCACTTAAGGACTTGAACCCAAACGGCAGACTATCACATACACAATTTAGAAATGTCAATTCTATTAATTATTAATAGGTTCTGTACAAACACTCTACTGAAACATGACTTCCATTACCCAAACTGTTTATATTCAGATGTTTACCAACACTGCAGCTCTTCATGTAGCAACTGTTCCTTTTTGACTTAACAGATGTATTTTTTTCCAAGTGTAATACAATTGCTCTGACTATGTAACTTCTCTTTGACATATACTGCATCGATAATATTTTAATGACCTGACTCTAAAAGCAATGGGAAATACTAGCTATCTTTTAGCCTTTATAGTAAAATTTTTGTTGCTGTTAAGTGACACAAACAGTAATCATTTTTATAGTAAGCCTGTGTGAAACAGTGAAAAAATCACAATTAACATAATAAGAAGCAAAGGAGAAAACTGATACATAACTTAATTAGTAACCTGCCTACAGATATTAAATAGGCTTAAAGACAAATAACTGCTGTTTCCATTTTTAAAAATATGTAGATTTTTTAAAAATCTTGCTTAGTATCATTTTCTTTGTTTTACATGCAGTGTCTAAGGCTAAGGCACTAATACAGTCCGACAGACATATCGCTTTAAGATGAGAGTTCCCACCTTAACTCAAAAGGCACAAATTTTGGGACATTAGGCATTCTGCTAGACTTCCATGTTCATGAACTTCTACCAATTCCTTCAGCTTCAAAATGAAAAGCTAATGCTTTTGTAAATGTAAACCTCACAGGAAAATAAAAAAAAAAAAGTGGTAATTTTGTATAAACAGCCCAGGACTTCACTGCTAAATCAAATTAAAGTAAAAATAAAGGTAATTCTTTTCCAAAAGTATGAAAGTATGTCATCATAAGTATCACAGCAGTAAAACTAAGCTCTATTTGCAGCAAGGACTATTTCTGAATCAGAAGACAAAATTAATATTTCTAATCCCCCACAAGCACGTGGTTTTAAATGAGAGCGGTGCTGTTAGTCAGCGTAACATTTTTAGAGACCAAAACCATCTTATGATCAATTAATTCAGGGATGGCTATCCTCCAGCTCACAAGTCAGACACAGACAAGCATCTTGTCCATCTGTCCAAGTCTAATCCTTTCTCCTTGCTTCCTGAAGCCCTCTGTGCAGCAGGTACACCATGGAGCAAGTGACAGCCTGCTCTCTGCTGCGATCTCATGAAGGCCGTGCACAACAGAAAATACTGAGACAAGGCTAAAAAACCTCAAAGAGAGGCAGTGGGACTTACTCCCTACGCAGTCTGACCACTCTGCATACCAGAGGACAGGAAAATGCCACCCATTTTCACTCTTACTGAGCCCAACAACATTTATTTGATTGAAGTTTATATCCGTAAAAATATCCCATCTCAGACTACATGGGAAAAAAATTGGGAATTTAGCACACATCAATAGTCACTTGAGCAATTAGAAGCACAACTCTGATTTGCCAGTTAAACTTCTGGCCCTTAGCTGCTATTCTACATTTTCCACTGCAAAAAATTCAATTCACCTCTCCACAGATTTAACACCTTCCCTTAACCAGGGCAAACCTACAGTTTTTCAAAACAAGGCACTTCCTCTCACCCTCAGATCATTTTTGGAAATAAGAGGATCACAAATTTTTAAGGTTGTTTGGCGGGTTCTTTTTTTAATGCTGATTTCATACCCAAACCAATCCCACTCTCACAATGCACACACTGCTGTCACCTTATGCTACATCCTTGCATATTCACTGAAGCACTTTATTAGTCTTTGTGTTAATTATCGAAGTAGAAAATGGCACAGGTAATTCAAACTTACGAGGTATTTACAAGAAAATCCTGCTGAATTCTTCAGGATTAAATAAAGACATTTCCCTATATACAACTTGTAAACCGACCTGCTATCTTGTAGAAACACTCCAAGACTTTGCAAACTATGCTTGATAGCCCCAAAGCGAGAGAAGTTCATTAAACTTGATGAAACCAAAAAACATTGCAGTACAAGGAAGAAATTGAGACCAATATATACAGCATATACGCTTTCCATCTGTTTGTGCATACTACCTGTCACTAAGCAGAGCTGCTTTCAAACCTAAACCAAACTGTGAATCGACTACCTCATGCCACCGTTTTAGCAGCAATATTTGAGCTGACCATTTCTAATCCATTTCAAGGCCATGTGGTCACGCACAGATTTAAAAGAAAAAATTAAAAAAAAAAAATTAAAACCTACTACCACTTTTGAAGTTAAGTTCTACCTTCCCTGTCAGATGCTGCACAAGTCTTTAACAGTAGGAATTCACTAGTAGTTAACATACCTAAAATGCACGTGAAATTTGTACCTTGCCAGGCACGCGACAGATGAATTCGTAAGTGTGCACTCAGTCACAACTGTGTAGACATACCTTTAATGCTTTCCCTCAGGCTGTTTTTTCTGCCTCTCTTTAAGAGGCATACAGTCCTTCATGTCAGCTAGCTGCCACTTGCTCATTTTTTGGAAACAGTTACAGTTTCTACAGAAAATATATGCATGTATTATTTCAGCCATCAGATTCTGAAGAGATTAATGGTCTCTTACATCAATCACCACTATGGGAATATCTATACTGCAGGCTGAATGTAGACAAAAAAATCCTGAAAGATCCAAAACCTGAAGAATGCCATATTTTCTACCCATTTTCGTTTAAAAAAAACTTCCCAATAATACATTTTTCCTAATAATATATTTATCCTAAGCTTAACTATTAGATTATGTCAATGCAAAACTTATTAAAAGGATAACTATTTTGGTGTTTGTTTAACACAGGTACTACCTTTAGTCCCTACAATATTTTAGGGTTAGATCCAAACACAGTTCTGAAACACAAACAAACATTTGAATTTGACAGCCACACACAGGTAAATAGGGATTTAGGTGCCTAAGCAGTAATCATCCCATTGATGTTTAGGGATGCTGAAGGTTATAATCACTTCTGCAGAAAATGTCAAACTTTGTTTTCTGAAGTGGTCTGAGAATAACTATGTTTACCTTTGGAACTCCTTAGTTTAGGACACAGTAGTTCCAAACTTCACCTCAAGCAGATGTTTCCCCCAATCCAAGCACCACACAGTTAGCACTGGGCCATGTCAACCAGACTGAGTCTACTACAACTTGATCACAAGAATAGGAACACATGGTGAAAAACTGTTACTTTAATAATGAGTACAGGTCATGAAGCCCCAGTGAGAATTTTTAGTATAAAAGCTTATTTCTGCTTTGTCTTTTGGGGCAAAGGGGCACAGGGGACAGTGGTGCAAGAGATCACTAAATGGAAGTGAGCCTGGTTTTGCTGTTACTAACATTATCAAGTCTTGCTGAAAATACTGTCCCTCTCTTTGGAAATACTTAGCTAAGAAAAATAAACACATTTTACACCGTGGTTCTTAACCACAGAATGTGCACATGCTAGAACACATTAGCCTAATTCTAATCCCGTGGGTGACTAAAAATTACGCTAATGCAAAGATGCCATTCTAGAAATTCAGCCAGCAGAGTTACTTTACAAACCAGCTGAGGGCAAGCCTGCCGAGAACTCAGATCACCCTTTGGCAGCCTCTGTGGAACTATAAAACCTAAAACGATAGCACTTTAAAGACGTGTCTCCAGGTACTGGATTCCCACTATACAGAGGGGAGCACTCTGTGAGCTCACAGCACTTGGCAAAGCAGACGTACATGTATCATAAAACGTATTTTCATTAAATACTGCTGCAAGCCTACACAGTATGATTAAAAAAAGCCCAAAATAATAGTTGATAAGATAACTACCATGTATGCAACACCCTCAAAAGGCCCTCAAAAGAGTCTGTTTCTCAAGGCCTCCAGCTTCGACCTTCAGAATGCATCACAGTAAGGTTCAGAAATACTTCTTACTGCCTTCCCCCCCCACAATACTGCCGTGAATAGCTTTATTATTACACAAGACCCTTCCAGCCCGCCACCTCCGCAGTAAAGGCACAACTCCAATGATCTGAAAGGTCCCTTCCAAGACGGACAATTCTGTGACTCCGGGCCCGGGCAGCTCTGGGTGTCCGGCCGCCACCAAGCCCGCAGCACCGCGTTACTCCCCCCGGGCCACCCCGACCGCCACAGAAAAGCACCACATGAAAACACGAGTTTCCCCGGGAAGAAGCGAAGCGATAGCGGGAGGGATGGATGGACGGACGGACAGTCAGGGCAGGGCTTTCCCTGTCCCTCGGTGCTGACCCTCCCCAGCGGCCCGTCTGACAGCTCCGCTCCGCACCGCGGCTGAGGCGGCCGGGGAGGGCAGAGAGGGAGGCCGGGTGCCCCTCACCCCTCCCCTGCAGACCCCTCGGAGACCCCCCCTCACCCCCTTTCCCCCCCCGCCCTCACCCTCCGTGTTGGTTTCGGGGTCGAAGCGCTGGCCGCAGCCCCGGTTGTAGCAGAGCAGCGACATGGCGGCGGAGCGGTCCCGGAGCGGCTCTTCCTGCCCGGGCGCTG